CCCAAACCAGAATTCCACACCATGCAGTGGATAGAAGATAATGATCTGTTTATACATGACACTAATAGTTATCCTTTTCAAATATTGTTATTCTATCTTCATCTAAACTTTCATAACAGAAAATACCTCTCTTTATATATCTAAGCTGCTCAAACGGTGAAACTTAACGTAACTATTTGGATTTTATTCTTTGTTACACTACACGATGTAGTGTTAGAACCAGATAACAAAAACAAAGTAGACAATAATTGTCAAATTTTTTCTTTATTAATGCTTACAGCGTATTAGTATTTGAATTTTAATAGTAAACCTACTTATTTACGTTTGCCATTCTAACAACCATATTATTAATGATAAATTGTTGCTCTCCGTTTCTTTTCTTTCATAACATGACGCATCATAAATGAACAACAGAGCTACACAATCACTATGCGCACAACTCTTCTATTGTTAACCTTGCTACCGATACTCTCCTGCATCTGTACATGTGCAGCAGCAGAGAGGATGCCACTGCCGGTGCCACGTGTGGGTGGATACGCTACAGAGGCGAAGGGACAAGGGTTCAAAGACAAACTGACAGACAGTGCAAACGAATCGTGGAATAACGGTCAATTCACTACCACCACACCATCCCTCAGTATGAGTGAGTCCATGAGTGCCTCTGCCACTCTTCCTCTCTCGGACACCACTACTGTTGCCCCATCAACACCAGATCAACAACAACAAGAAGCAGCAGCAGGAGAGCAACAGGCCGCCACTTCTGAGGAGTCGAGTACGACGAGCACCGCAGCACCGAAGAAGAAGAAGAAGAAGGACGGGGGCCGCGGCCCTGAGTGGCTGCACGGCCCGCTGGTGCTGCTCGCCGCCCTCACCGCCGCAGCGCTGTGCTGAGTCCCGCCCCCTCTGCCAGTGCGNCTTGATATTAACACTCATTGTGTGAAACTGGGCTAATAACATTATTGCTTTCTTTCTTTGCTTTATGGTGCCCCCATACACTGCTGCTGGGAGGGTGTGGACAGACATATTGTAATAGTGGTGGTGGTGAGTGGCACCTCTGTGTGATTTGGCCTCATATTGGGGCGTTTCTTTTTAGCTCGAGACTCAAATCTCGGGTGTAATCTCTTTTAAACATGAACATTAAGATCTTCTTTTTTGCTTTGCTTAATAATAGTTTGGGAATAATGACGGCAGTATTCATTGTTATTTATTTGTGTTTTTCAGCTGTTGGTGTGGAATGTGTGTGCTGAATGTTAATACCGTCTTTCCTCTTAAGGGAGGGAGTGTTGTGAGGTAAGCTGAGTGGGTTTG